TTGATCTTGGATAAGAGATTCCTAGTGACATTTGTAGTTCACTTCTGGTACTAAGGTCAGGGTGAGCAGATAAGCTGCACATCATAGGAAACTCTGCCTTCACAAAGATTTTTTCTCAAACAGTCACTGTATCTGCACAGATGATACAACACCAGTTTAGCGATGTGTAATAAAGAAAATCTCGGAAATTTATACTCAACATGACCTCATATACTCTTTTTTTAAAAAAAATATTGATTTTATTTTTATTGGAAAGGCAGATATACAGAGAGGAGAGACAGAGAGGAAGATCTTCTATCTGATGATTCACTCCCCAAGTGGCCACAACGGCTGGAGCTGAGCCAATCCGAAGCCAGGAGCTCTTCCGGGTCTCCCACGCAGGTACAGGGTCCCAAAGCTTTGGACTGTTCTCCACTGCTTTCCCAGGCCACAGGCAGGGAGCTGGATGGGAAGCAGGGCTGCCAGGGTTAGAACCAGCACCCACTACACCATTGTGCTGGGCCCATTATATACTCTTAACCTTCCTTTAAAGGCTGTTTTGCTGTAAAGACAATGAAGCCATTTCCGGGATTGCCTCACCGGATGTCCTCATGCAGTGTGATGGAAGAGATGAAAGGGTTAGGAGGCTGATTAAAAGAAGGGGTGATAACGAACACAACTAGAAGAATGGGAGCATTCTAGAATTGAGGAAAATAGAACCCCAAGTCGCAAAAGCAGTGAATGGAAAGGATACAAAAAAAAAGGAGCCTACGAAGTTGACTGAGAAGCATTGGTTGCACGTGATTAATCACAAGAGTTGCTGATTTGGAAATGAAGACTGACTGTGAGGGATGGAGCAATCAGTGCCACCGACTGCAGGGTTTGTAGCTATAAAGATAAGGCCCTGTCCACTGAGTTCAGTGTAAAACAGGTACCCTGGGCTGTGGCAGTGATGGACACCTAGGAATACATAGGCTGCTAGGGGAGACCTCTGGTCAGAGAGGTGGGACACCGGGACATTCACTGTCTTCCTGCAGAAGCTGTTTTTCTCATGTTCTGGTCCTTGATTTTGTTTCTGTGAAGCTGTTTGCTTCACTGTAGGAAGATGGAGTATTTTTTTTATTATGCTGCTGAAAGACTTTTATAATGATCCAATGGAAGAAAATATTATAACACAAAAATGATTCACAGAGTACAATCATTAACATTTTAATCACTAACGGCTTTACATATATAAATGTGCTATTTTAAGCTACTTATTTTAATTTTCTTTGAAAACAAAGCATTTTAAGAATCTGGATATATCATTTTATCGTCATTTTAAAAATGAGTGTACTTTATAGGAAATGTATTATTGGGCGAAAAATAAATGTGCTGTTGTGGACAGTCCTGAAGTTCAGGATTTTGAAGGGGAGACCAGATGTTGAGGGATCTATTTCTTTTTGTTTCTCATTTACAAGCTATGAGTTTGATTATGTTCCTTAAGTTTGATGTCCTGAAGGGAGGGAGACTCTCAAGGCCCAATACATAGGATTTAGTAAGTAGCCAGATGTGCACATGTATAAGTCAATTGTTTTCAGTATTTTTAGGAAATCAAGGCAGTGTATCTTAACCCTAATGTAACATACCATAGGGTGAATTTCCGTTCAGCGTGAATGTGCCTAGCCCTTCCTTGAAGGATTTTAATTCTTACCACAAGTGAAGAAAGTATTCTGGCAATTCATATTGGCAGCAGCTCCATCATCATAATAATTGTGCCATCCTCATGGCTTAAGAACACACACTGACATGCGAGTGTGCATGCATGCACAGGCACAGACATGGCTTGATCTCCTGTAAAACCAATTATTCTTGTTTTATGGATAAGGAATTGGAAGTTAAACAAAGGTTAGATTTCTTGCTACAGGACACATAATTGTGGTTATAGAACTGAGACCCAGGCTCTCCTCTACCCATCCTACCAGCTCTACCCCATCGGGGACTGTTTTCATTGCAGCCCTTACAGACCTCCAAAAGTTACTTCTCTACCTTTGGTGATTCTAGAGAAATTTTTTTTAAAAAGTGTTCCCCAATGTGGACAAAATTGCCAGCCTCTGCTAGAGAATGAATGCAATTAAAAATAAGCAACTGAAGACATGAATGGACCGCAACAAGTCTGAACCTTTTTCTAATTGGCAGAAAACAAATGTGCAGAAGTAGTTGGCCCTGCAGGGTTTCATGTGTCATTAGTGTAACTTTCAGGATCATGGTGACGTTGAGAAGCTTCTGGAGAAAAGTCAGATCATTTCCTTTGCTGTGCAGAACCTTGTTAGTTTGGTGTGGTCCCATTTGTTCATTTTGGCTTTGGCTGCCTGTGCTTTTGGAGATTTTTCTAGCAAGTCTTTATCAATGCCAGTATCTTACAGAGTGCTTCCTGTGCTTTTCTCTAATAGTTTGGTAGTTTCAGGGTACAGTTTATTTGGAAAACAGTATATTTAATACAAGACTGCATTTCCCAAAAATATTTGTCGTTGTCAAAGATGGAAGAGGAAAAAATAGTGTCAGAGTATGCTTAGAAGGTTTGTGGAAGTTAGAATTAAAAAATACATTTACTTTGGTACAGAACATCTATTCATAGATTTTTTTTCACCATACTTGTTTTTCCAGGAACTTTTTCAAGGTCCCACATATGCATGGATTTCAAAATGTATTACAGTGAAGTTAATATTTGATTCTATTTTCATGAACTTTTTAAGTTAACTTCATAGAGGGAAGAAAAGCTATCATGCATGTGCACTATCCTGTTTCTAGTTATTATCATGGAGGGGTAAGGTTACAGAGTGCTTATATTTCTGTGATATGTTTATTTATTTCACAGTATTTATTAGAAGCCTTTTGCATGTCACATGCCAGGTACTGAGGATGTAGGTAGAAATCCCATCATAGTTGAAGACATAAAATTGGCAAGTTAATTGACTAATAATTGAACCTTGATAAACAGCCTATTACTTTCATGATAGGACATTTTTTACAAGTGAAAATTGGTTTCATTTTTTTATGGCTGAATAGCGGTTCAGAGTGTATGTACACCACATTTTCTGTAGACAGTCATCAGTTGATAGAGACCATTACAATGGAGAACAGGAGGCAGATTCTGAGGGCAGCAGCCTCTCTGCTCATGAGGCCTGGCGTGTTGCTTATTTCCAGTGAGAGATATTATTGACGTTTTTCTAACCAGAGATAGAACCGGATATTTATATCTTGCATATATAATATGGTTGATGTAGTTGGACATAATTCCTTGTGGGAACAATAATTATCTCCAGGCAAAATTATTATACATTTAGCACCACTATATACATATACACATGCAATTATACATACATACACACACATACCCTGCACAATTGCAGCTGAAGCTATCCAACTATGTGTGCGTATCATGTTGTAATACAGGGGTATTTCAAGAAGCATATTTTAAAGATGCTTTTTCATTTGAAAGAGTGACAGAGAGAGAGATCTCCTATCCACTGATTCGCTCCTCAAATGGCCACAGTGGTCAGGTGCCAAGAGCCAGGAACTTCACCTCAGTGTACAATGTGGGCAGCAGAAACTCAAGCATGTGGGCCGTCTGCTGTCTTCCAAGGTGTATCAGCAAGATCTGGGATGTTGATATTGCAAACAAATATTTAACATGTTGAGCCATGATGTCAGTTTCAATTTAAATTTTTTTTGGTGCCAAAATAAACTTTAAATTTCATTTTCTATTAACACTCTGAGGTATTCCTGTGTCTGTACATATCTATCCTTTATGATAAGTCAGGTAAGTGTAAACCTTGAGAAACCATCATTAATATTTCCCATGTCAACATTTGAAAGAAAAAAATCAAGAGACCTAACAAAGCACAGTAAAGTAACAAAGCTGTAGTTATTTGCTTTGCAGGCGAGAGAGCCCAAATCACCATGGAGTGAGCTCAGTGTGTCTAAGTTGAAAACAGAAGTGCAGGAAGGGAATGAAGGGGTGGTTTCAAGCAGGAAATTAATCTAGGCAATTTCCAGGTGATTACACTGCTTACATTAGGAAGAGAATTGGTACTTTCCTGTAGGATTGATCATTTTCAACTTTAGGGCACAAAAGTATCATTTCCAAGGGAGTTCAGAACAAACAGCTTATAGGTGTATGCCAGGAGATGACATTTTTTTTTTTTCTTTAACCCTGAAAAGACAGAGTACTAAGTGTGAAGGACTAAGTGTGAAGGACCTGGGAGCTTGTGACATACAGTAGCACAGCATCCCATTAGGAATGTTCTGTGAAGATATTGGATGGATGCCAGAGGAAATGGGAGCTCTGGCTGGTTCAGTCACTCCACTGATTGCACAAATATCCATTGAGAAATAACTGCCTCCCACTTAATGGCTCCCAGCCTGTCTCAAATGGACTTGGTCATTCTCACGCTTTCAGAGAAAGCAGAAACTATTTTATTGCTTTCTTAGGAATCTGAGAATTCCCAAATGATCGCGGTGTGATTGGATATATAGTTCTCACACCCACTCTTTCTGTCTCTGAAACACGGCTTTGCATCTTAAGCAAACAGCATTGCTGGTGTCAGGGCTCGCCCAGCTCACCTGGATTTATATTCCAAACTTTGTCTCTGCCTTGCTGCTCTCCTTATGTCTTGTTGACATCAAATACTTCCTGAAATTACAAACAGATGGGCAGAAGGAAACCAACAAACACTCATCATTTTTAAAAGTCAATTTGCCTTTTAACAGCGTCAGAATTTTTGAGTCAAGAGTCAGGTTTAAAAACAAAAACATCTAGTGCCTCGGAAATCACATGGCTACGGCATTGAAATTCATAGATTAATTTTAAATCCCTCTCTATATTCATTAGAATTGCACTCTGAACAATTTACATAACTACGTGGATTCTCAGATCACACGTAAATGACTAGCCTGTGTTAAAATTCACAAACAATCCACACCGAGTATTGTCTACCCACTTGACATTTCTGTATCTTTTCTGTGTTTGTATGCTGCAGGTGGGAGAGTTCAGAGCACATGCTGCTGAATGGACGGCCAATGTAACGGCTGAATTCAAAGAAACCCGGAGGCGGCTGAGCGTGGAGATCTATGACAAGTTCCAGCGTGCCACGTCCATTAAACGGAAGCTCTCTGCAGAGCTAGCTGGGAATCACAACCAGGAGCTGACGCCTTGTAGGAGGACCCTGTCGGTCAACCACCTGACCAGCGAGAGGGATGTCTTGCCTCCCTTACTGAAGACTGAGAGCATCTATCTCAATGGGTTGACGCCACACTGTGCTGGGGAAGAGATCGCTGTCATTGAGAACATTAAATAGCCCTCTCTCTGAAGAGCCTTAGGCATAGCCATAGGTGAGGACTTCTTATATGCTCTATATGACTGTTGCTGGTAGCATTTTAAAAAATTGTGCATGAGCTCCTAAGGGGGGAAATGTAGATTCACCCATCATGGTCATCTGCCATCAAGAGAATTTGGAATTCTGAGCCAGCACTGTCTCTGATGATGCCCGTTGCACACTCCACTTTTCTGGGATGAGTGGAAGGACAAGCGATGTCTGATGCCTTTCTGTGCCCAGACTGTTTTTTTCCCTCTTCTCCCCACGTGCCACAAAGGCCTCAGAATGAATTGCATTTGTCTTTGGTAACGATGTAGCTTTGAGGGGTCAGTCCTTATCTTTTCAGGGTCTACCTAACTGAGCCTAGATATGGACCGTTTGTGGATGACAACATTTCTTTCTGTCAATGGCAAGAAATTCTTATGCAGCCTTTTTACCTAAGACATTTTCTGTCAGTGCCTTATCTTATGAAGAGACAGAACCTCTCTAGCTAATGTGTGGTTTCTCCTTCCCCGCCCCACCCTAGGCTCACCTCTGCAGTTTCTTATTCCAGCCTTCCCGTTTGAATACCATACCTTGCTGGGAACAGTGTGTAAAATGAGTGACGTGACGATGACCGAAGAAGGAATAGATGCCAAATTAGATGGACATTGAAGCAACTCTCAGAAACTCTAGTATTGCAGGCACTGCACAGAAAGGAGGTGCAAAATTGGCCCTCAAAGTATTTATTTGACTCAGGTACCAAGGGTACATATATACAGTGGGATTATTACCATGCTGGTATAATTGGCTGCTCCCAAAACATCCCTGTTTTTTCTGGCAGTTTTTGGAACTTATCATTTCCTAGTAACTATACATTTTTAAAGATAGAAGAAGAAAGTCCATACGTAAGTCATCTTATGTGAAATAAAAAGACTGTTGAAATGGTGTTGTTATTGGAGGCAATTTAAAACAGTTGGTATGAATTACCCTTCTGATGAAAAGCAAATAGCAAAACAAATGTGTTCTGAGTACTTTCTAATAAACATTCTACTGCCAGCCTCTATTTGCTTTTTGATGTATGAAGCCTGATGTAATTTTCTTTCCTTGGGTGACGTGTGTCAGGTGAGGAAGGGGGATGCAGCAGGGAGAGATCCTCCCCTTTTCCCCACCCCCCATGGGAACCCTTGAAATTGTGACCAGGTGTGAGAGCAGAAGTGAAACTTGGATCACTGTGATTTTGCACGTGGAAAAAATACAGATTGCAGGTATAATTCATTCATATCTGACATTAGAGAAAATGCTGTTATAGCACAATTTAAACCTTTTTTAGATAGAAAAAAAAGCCAATAACCCTTTCAGTTTCATTTTATATCCTATTAATTGTTTGGATATTCCCATGGTTTAGAAATATCCAGTACCTGCACCCAAGTCCATTGCTATTCCTCTCTTTATTTTCATACTTACATATGCTGTACATTGTATATATAATTTTGAAAGTCTGAAAAGAAAACAATTTCCCTAAATACAATTACAAAGCTGATTTCTTTTACCTTTTGGAGGGAGAGGGTGCATGTCTGAATAAGTGGCACTCAGATTAGGGTCTTACAAAATTAACCCAGGATCTTTAAAAACAAACTAACAGATGCTTATTTTCCAAATTTTAAGCTAGAAGTGTAAATATTCACTTGTTGAAGGTAATTTTATAAATCTATGAAGTTCTAACTAAAATTTTAGAAAGTCAGGCTCTTTAAGCAAGCAAGCTACTCTCATTTCCTCAGTAACTGTTCTGAAAGTCCATATGGTGGAATGCACCATGTATAAACTGTGAATTGTATTGACAAATAAAGTTTGTAATTAAAGTCAGCATTTCTCAGTCTCCTGATTGCTGCTGGAATTTGGGATCTCCTTCTAGCTAAGTAGGATGCCAGGATGTCACTTTTCATGCTGAACTAGATGTAGCCGCCCCCTCCTCTTCACAATATTCCAGAAATCATTTTTGATGTGTTAGTACTACTTTTGCTGGAAAACAAGCAAGAGTGTTTTTGGTGGCTGTGATCAAAATCCAATCTACTGAAATTTGTTTTTGAGATAGGACATGTGAAATTCAAGACTTTCTGTTACATTCAACCATATTGTATTTCATCATTGTTAGAACTTATCTTGACACTGATGTGGTATGAATTTGAGACAGAGGCACCTGATTGTGGTTGTTTTTGTATGTGTGAGAAAAAATGAGCACCCTGTTAATACTGTCGCCGTAAGAGGATAGTTGCAAACCAGTTTTTAGTCTTATCCTTAGACACTTTATCCTGTAAGTGCCCTGCATAAATTTAATGATTCATTGCTAAATAACTTGATGTTGAGTTAATATCTTAAGACTTGTCCCCAAACACTATCCTAAAATGATTGAGGGAAGGAATATTCAGCCCAACAAAACCCTGGCCATGCCATGATGGGAGTGGATTGAAACACTTTCTCACTCTTCCTTCCTGTCTGTCTCCATCCCTGCCTTTCAAATAAGCATAAAACATGAGGATTGATTTTGAGGATGAGATATTTTGACTCTGCTTTCTATTTTGAATCTGTACTGTTCACTAAAGCTCAGCTTTTATTATCCTTCTAAAAATCATTTTCTTCTTAGAATTGGCTTTATAAAATATTTTCACTGTGTTAGCCCTGTCTCAACTTATAACTCTTTTGATGTTCTGTTTCTTTCAAAAGTATTTCAGTAGATTCCAAAAACTCATGCAAGAACTTATGCTTTTATTTTGCATTTAAATTTGAACTTCTCTCCAAGTTCCACAGGCACCTGGCTCACTGAGAACAGATAGTTACATTTCTAAAAGATACTTGAGCGTATCCAGGATTCCGATAGTCGTTTCTCCAGATGCGCCCCACCTCTGATGTGATTTCCACTGAATGGACCATGTGCATCTGGCTGAGCAAAGCATCCTTGATGTATCCTCAAGTTCATATTCACCTGTTACCAAGCTCTATTGATTTAAGCCCCAAGTATGTTTTGAGTTTGTACACACCATTACTTAAACTAAGCCATCATCACCTTTTACCTTCTACTAACTGCTTTTGTGACATTCTGTGCTCCTGTGATCAATGACAAAGAAATCTTTTTAATATGAAAATCTGATCATATTCTCCAACTTAATTGTATTGCTTGCCTTTCATTTATTTAGGAGTCAAACCAAAACCCTTCAAATGTTTACCAGAAGGCTTTCTCTTGATCTACTTTATTCCAACTTTTCCCGACTCACCTTGTATCACTTTCTACCTTTCTTTTTTCCAGCCCCACTATATTTCTCTGTTCATTCTCAGTATTGTTATCATTCTTCCCAATGCCTGGAATGCTTTCTATGCTTTTACCCCTCAAACTTTGACCTAATAAACTCTTGTTCATCCTTAAGAATCCACCTCAAGTATCACTTTGTCCAGTAAGATTCACCTGATATCAGTTCAGTTGCTTTTGGAATATACTTTATATATTCCTATTTCTTTTCGTAAGTTATGATTAGGTATTTATGGCTATTACTTGTATGTATCACTAGGATGTCATTCATGTTACATGAATTAATAAGCATAAAATGGTTATCTGATTATCTGAAATTATCCTTGGACATAAATATTCAAATTTTCTTAGCTCAATGTATGCTAATTTACTCACTACTACTGGTTTACTTGTGTAATATAAATAGAAGTTTCTTTCTACTAATAGACAAGCCTAGTACTAGTTACTAATTGTACATTTAGTTTTTAAAAATCAAATTCGGTTCTTAGAGACTTATGGCTCATTTGTTGCTCAATATTCCTACTCTATAAATAAAAGTTTTATTATTTTATTTCCAAATTTTCACATACAAGTGATGTTGCCAAACATTTCAATTATAATGTAATCCTGAAAATGTTTGAAACTAACTTAAAAATATATTTGCATATAATATAGTTTAGAGCCCTTTAAATTAGCACAAAGTTAAATTCACATTTATCCCTACCAAATAAAAATCAATGTTTTTATTATTAAATAAATTCATAAGTGGTCTGGGAAAGTATCCATTATCTGACACATTTGAGTCACATCCAGTAGAGAGTATTAGTCAATGACATGTTGTGATTTCAGGTGAACTCACAAAATAAATACTATTTTTCATTCCATTGATTCCTGACTTTCATTGGTGATACTCCTTTTTTGCACTATGCAGTCAAAAGATATCAATCCCACTATATAATTTTATAATTTATAATTTTATAGCTTTATTTTGTAACATGTCATCTGCATTAGACTTCATATTTCTTTTTATGTATTTATTTTTATTGGAAAGAGAGATTTACAGGGAGAAGGAGAGACAGAAAGATCTCCCCTTTGCTGGTTCACTCTCCAAATGACTGTAATGGCCAGAGCTGAGCCTGATACAAAGCCAGGAGACAGGAGCATGTTACAGGTCTCCCATGTGGGTGCAGGGTCCAGAGATTTGGGTCATCCTCCACTGCTTTTCCAGGCCACAAGCAGGGAGCTGGATGGGAAGTAGAGCAGCGTGGATACAAACCAGTGCCCATAGTGAGATCCTGGGGCTTGAAGGGGGAGGATCGGCTAGTTGAGCCATGGTGCCAGGCCCTAGACTTTGCATTTCTGAGCTTTTAAATGTCACTAAATGACATTATCTGCTCCAGATTTAAATTTTGTGTTTGAGTAAGTATTTCAGAGTTCAGAACATACAACAACAATAAGATACCATCAAGACATCTAAGCAACCCAGCCTGTTCTGTGAGACCATCAAAGCTCACTGAACTCTTGACCACACCTTCAAGTCATTTCCTCACTGGTTAAGAAACCACCAATGGGGGACCTTTTTACCTGTATGTTCTCGTCCAACAAGGAGGGGGTCAGGGAAGGCTTAACATCCCAAGACCCTTCCTCATACCTTTGGTTTCTCCTTCTCTCTTCTTTCAAGAGGCACCCCACCTCCTGGCTTTTTTGATAAGGTGCTTTTTCCTTCCCTCTTTCCCAGCTCATCTAGTCACTTTTCAGAGAAACCTCTCTGTTTGCAACCAGTTCCCAGCTTTTCATTTCTTATATTAAGCTGAGGAAAGAACCAATGGAGCTTTTCTGATAACATTTTCTAATCATTTGGTAGCAGCAATTTAGAGTTTGCACAGTAACTGAAAAAAAAACCTCTAAAAGTGCAAGGTTTGATATATAACAAATGTGTGTCC